AACTGCATGACTCCATCAATCCTCTACACTATTTGAATCATGACTTTAGTAGCGCAAGCGAGATGGATTGACGATGATCATGGACGAGCGGCTATTACAGTAAAATGAGAAAGCATCCAAGAAACGATGCATTTCAGCTGTCGCTATAGTCAAAACGGTAGGATACCTTTCATGTTGGTTTATTCTATAATCTAAAATAGAATATTGGGATCCTTACCTACGACTTGAGCTATAGAAAAAAGGATGATGCCAATCCATAGGCAACTCGTTGGAATCGTCACCATTTCGTCATGAATTTCTAACTAGAATAAAGCATAAATACAGTTCAATCAGTATTGGCCAATGAATTATTGCACAACCAAGATAATGTCCACTCTATCTTACAACACAAATTTGGAGTCAAATGACATGGCACTATTTAGATGGTAGGCATTTTCAGCTGTTGTCAAAACTCACTTGTACTCTTGTCACAAAAGATGGCAATCGTTGACTAATACTGATGATGAGATGGTCTACTTTGATGCAAACTAATCCTAGGTTAAGTAGACGAGCGTATTGACATGGAAAGGCAATAACGCTGGAAATTCATCTAGTCCAACTACCGTATTTAGGCTATCATTGATACTTGTTTACGATCGAAGATGAAAGCAATTTTCCGATCAATCCTAATTATAGAGATGTAATTGTATCGATGGATCGCATTGATACTTTTACCAAGATAGCATCGACTCAAGTTATTCTTGGAGAAGAATACTTTATGCGGAGTGATGGAAGACAGCCTACGGCGCACAATATGTCTATTATTGTCCTACTGTAGTGTTTTCTTGACTTTTTAACATTGATCTCATCTTGGATCCTAGCAAGTGAACTAGATCACTGCAAGATGGCTATTGTTTCAACTTAATGGATATTAATTATATTATTTAATGTAATCTATCTGCTCTGATGGCTAGCGATCGTTGGATGACGACATGGCAAAAGAGATTAACATTTTAATGTCGGTAGTCGACAACAATGGTTGTCATCTTGGATCCTACAGCTACGATATCTTTCTCTTCTCTCTCTACAATGGCTGTTGATCCAACAAGGTCTTAACCTGAATTGGATCGCGGTCCATTGAATTGCATGGCAAAAGAGATTGAACATTTTAATGTCGGTAGTCGACAACAATGGTTATCATGTTAGATCCTACCGCTACGATAAGTTTCTCTTCTCTTTCTACAATGGCTGCTAATCTAACTGGGTTTTAACCTTAATTGGATGGCGGTCCACTGAATTCCATGGACAATGATGGAATAGGGTAAGGCAAAAGTCATCGACACTCCTCAAGAGGAATGGCTAAAATCGACAACAGTACAGTGCAATGGTCGACGTCGAGATAGAAAGGAAGATTTTATATAGTATACTGCAGTCCAAATATCGGCAATCATCGTGATGCCATGGAGGATTTTCCTCTTGCTACCGTGCAAGTCAATAAATGCACAACATAAGTATGGCATAGCGATTGCTTTTCCTTCTATGTCGACGTGATGATATTCTAATTTACACATGGCATAAGTACACACAAGTTGAAGAACAAAAAAAAACCAAAAAAATGAAAGAAGCAATTTTCATGCCTTTAAACAATCAATTACCAAATACTGTATGTAACATAAGAATTTGGCGAGCGAAATGCAATTTGATTGCGCAAAAAAATAAAAATATCCAGTCAACGTTGGGGGAGGGAGGGCGAATGGAAACATATTCAATCAAGATGGGAATGGATTCTACGCTACATGATCAACTCTCTATCTGTAATACAAAACATCAAAGTGCACCTGGACGATTGGAAAAGGCGCTGGGCCAATTGACTAATGTTCTAATTGCAATAGGTCGGATAAGATGATTGATCCAAAAGAAGCAATCACCATTGCTTCTCGACGCTGCTGTAAAAACTTCCAAGTGAGCAACGCTACGGTATGACAGAAGTAGGCTGTCTCAACAACTTTATATAGTAATCAAAGCCAGTAGAAGATCAGAGTCCCTGATTTACTCGACGTATTTGAATATCTAGGCCAGTCGATTACGTATCTTGATGGAATCACTAGAATAACTAATTAATTCATGAATTGATTATAACAAATTGCAAATGGTAGTCAGCAATATGATACAGCATAGTACTGGTCGACTTGGCCAAGACTCCTGTTTTAAACTGCTACAATACGTTAGTCCATGCTTCTTTATGTACTCTCGCTATGGACTATCATGTGGACTCTTGGATTCTACTGTGTAAATAATTCATTAATTCATTCGATTTGATGAAAGACATTTTGAGTGCCGTCCATCACTCCATTTTCTCCGTTTAATAGACCGTAGAGTAATCGTCATGATCGATATCATGGGCTACTACTTTAACCTTAAATACTTCCCAGTTCGTACTGTACAAACTGTAGGTATATACAGTACTGTATGTCACGGTATAGATAAATAGAGAGAGAGAAATTCTGTAGATAGAGAGATAGATACTGTAGATAGAGAGAGAGATAAATCAATAGATAGAGATAGATAGACAGATAGATACTGTAGATAGAGAGAGAGATAAATCAATAGATAGAGATAGATACTGTAGATAGATAGAGAGATAGATCAATAGATAGAGATAGATAGACAGATAGAGAGAGTGAAAGATAGATACTGTAGATAGATAGATAGAGAGAGAGAGAGAGAGATAGATGCTGTAGATCGAGAGAGATCCGTATAAACACTACTGTACAAGTATTTTATTTTCCCTCGTACTGTAATCGATTCATTTATTAGTGGCAGATACCGTGTCGAAATAATCTGTATAGAAAGTTTGCTAGCACTGTACAGTATAGTAGCTGTTGGTCACATGGAACGAGTGCTCTAAAGATTCCAATATCAATTTGATTAATTCAATTTCATCAACTGTGGAAAGTCACAAAAGCCGACCAATAACATGCACACAAGCTCACAAAGGGAATTATAACTCGAGGAGAATTGCTCTTGCTCAATGAGAGCCCTCTTCCATCAACAATTAAGAATCTAGAGGATAGAGTAAGATATCGATATCGATCAAGCATTCAGATCTTTCTCTTGCTCAATGATAGCGCTAAAACATGTTGAGCAGCTATCACTGCAGCCAGATCGATCAAGTAGGCATGTGATATTTTCACATCCATCTTGATCGCCTTTTCTACTTGGTCCTAGTACCACGTTATCGTCATCATAAATTGCCTGTATGGCTTTTACCCCTATATACCTATTTCAAGTAGAAGGATAATTCAATGTACGTACTGTCCAACAACAACTCTAGCAATATCATATTGTCATCGTCCCAATGTAAATGTCTGATCGTATTTCAACACCTGCTCCATTCAATCAAGCCACAATGCAGCCAGCCTGTGGCAAACGTTAAGCTCATCATCGTACCTCTCTATATCCTCTATTGTCGCTTGCTAGCGGTTTGACAACGGTCGATTACCATTATCCTCCTCAATCATGTTGACATCGAAGAGACGGACTAGTGCCAGGTAGTTTAGCTATGTTAAAATTGTTGCAAAGCTATGGCATGTTGTACTACAAGCGTAGACTAGCCGGTATTTGGACTAGGAGTCCATACGACAAAGTGCCAGTTTCACTCTCTTCAAACAGAAGGCCTTTTGAATGAGATGAAAAGAGATTGCATGATGGCGATTGCATGGCTTTCCAGGAGCGATTTACTAGTGCACGATCCATATTTTCCTCTGCATGAATTTGGCCCAATTTTGCTTTGATACAGTGCCAGTGGCATCACGACAACTAGAATGGAGGATATTTAAAGGTACGTTCTCGATTGGGAAAGAGTTGTTGTTGCTCTACTGTAGTTGTTACTCAAGTTGCATGGACTACTGTACGAGTCTTTTCTCGTACAGTAGACCATTTACAAGAACCCAAAATTCATCAATAACTACTTTCTTTGCCACGATAAAAAGCAAAGTACTTTTTGGCCCAATGGGTACTGACAGTACGTCCAAGAAAGTGAGAAGGCCAACTGCCTGCATCCATCAGGAAGACATGACACCCTACTTTAGTTTTCTGTTCAGTCGTTATCAATCAATCACGATGGTCAGCGGTCAGTAGGTATATCACAATTTCATCAGTCAAACAGCAAAAAAAATAAAGGCTTGCATGTTGTCTTTGAGTAGTCCATGACAGTTTACAGCCATTATTTTACTGGCCAAAATGGCGAAAGTAGGCTAGTAGAACCTATGACCGATTTCTAAACTAGACCACAATCTCTTCAATGATGGAAAACAAGTTACTGGCAGTCTGGCACTGAACATAGTCTGTCCGTCTGAGAGTGTCCTAATCCATGGTATCGATTCTGTCCTGTCCAACTGTTCATGTCCCTGACGGACAGTGGACAGGACTCGACATTGGTCAATGGACATGGACAATGGAGGACTCGATACTCCCGGACAGACAGACCATGTTCCACCGGGCGGGGTCACGTACGACTGCGTACCGTACCGTGGATATTCTTGACTGCTTTGGCTAGGCGACAGCCTCTACTGTACTTTGACTACGCTCAAGCCTACTGTATGAAACATAGTGTAGCACGTGCTGGCCTAGCAGGTCCCACCGCACTGCCTGCTGGTACTGCTGGTCCATGACTACAGACAACAGACAGACAGAAAACTCCAGGCAATCACGGTAGCCATTACGTGAAGTTTAAAGGACGGCACTGGATCATTCGCCATTATTGCAACATTTGGAGGCAATTTGGAGGTTCATGATTGATCTGTTGGACCCCATCGTGGACGAATTTCCTTTTCTTAGCTATTGATAACCCAATTAGACTGTGTAGGGTGAAATTGACTTGATCCAAGATTAGAGACGACAACCATTGGACTTTCTGTTGATTGACTCGACATCGATGCAACATAAGCTCTGCATGTGCGCTTAGACCTCCTGTACATATCCTCTTTCTACTTGCTCAACTGCCCATTTCCAAATCAGCTATGTTGATCCTGACTGGAATTAAATATTGTAGTCAGGTCAAGCACTGGATCGTGCCCATTTTACCATCATCCACTCGATTGGCAAATGTTGGCCAGTTAACGCGTGCTCTTTCTGCCTGTTTTGCCTTAAAATCCTACGATAGCCATACCAATTCATTGATCAACAACATTCAAATGCCCTCTTTTCCGTCCATGCATTCGGTTACTACCTGGTGGAAATACATGTTCATTTCACACATGCATAAACGATACCGTTGCCACTCCGATCAAGGTCAAGCCTACAAGCAACTAGACCCTACTGCAAAATATCAACATCGACAAGATGACAAGAGAGATAAAACACGGGCTAAGAGTAGACGACGTGGTTATGCTTTATTCGCTGCAGCTGCTGGATTATTTTCTTGGGATGAATATAGAATAAGCGATGAAGAGCTACGTAGGTTAGTGGATCGCTAATTATTGACTCATCCATCATTCAAGCTTTCAGTCAATAATATCAACAGAAATGTTTTCCTAACCCATAAGCAATCCATGCATACACTGATGAGAGAATGATCGATAGCTTCCATAAACACATGACATGACCTAATTTGTCAACCAAACGATTCGAGAATAGATCTATAAAATGGGCATCGTTCTACTCCATATCTGTCAAACATCAATTATTTTCACTTAAAGTGTGTCAACCCCATTTCACAGAATAGCCTTCAAGGCAACGATAGAGTACTGTAGTTGATTTATCTACGTATACAGTAGATATAGGAGTATATAGATACACTTATACAGAGATGCGCTGGTCAATCCTAATCCGGCGATTATGCCGGCTAAAGTCCAAAGTAAGAGCAAAAATACTTCAATTTACCAGTGCTTTATCCAATAGGGAATGGTATTGCTCTACCAAAGTGTTGACTATAGGACTATTGGCAGTTTCTTTCACTTTAGCAAATAATCTTTCCTAAACTATATCTACTCTTATCTCTAACTTTAGCCGGCTATTCTACATAAGAGCCAAGATTCGGGCTTTAACCATAACATACAGTATTGTCGATATAGACGTACACAGTCATTGTACCTTTACAATTTTGCCTGTATATAGCGCTAAAATTGATACAACTACACTGTCCTCTTCATAAAAGTATACCCATACTAACCATGGTACTCAATTGATCCATATTGACATCTGTTAAAACAGGATAGAAGCAACGACGAGGTCAGAATGGCATGCATTTTACACGAAAAAGAATGATGAAAACGATCAAGAGGATTGGGAGATCGTGATGGATCAGGGTGATTTTAAAATTTGGAGAAAAGCTGTACCTGGCACCTCTATTTACCAATATAAAGGTATATAAAATTACCCAATAATACTGATACCCAATTTTTCAAAGCATCATATCGTCATGTTAAATACTAATAATAATTTTATCTTATTCGATCTCAGTGATCGGAACCTATAAGGACATATCCGCCAATCAGTTTTATACAACTCAGGTATTTCCATTTATTAGTCGTAGCAATAATTAATTAAAATAAGGGTATGGTTCAGTCTCGAATGAATTCTACTTCAGCTGGAATAGATAGCTTTGCTATTCAATGTGCAAACTGCTCTTACCATAACAAGCACAAAATAGCATCAAGTCATGCATACCATAGCTTTTACCAGCGATTGAATGAGAATATGTAAAATAGATAATACAGTAATATAGACTTCAAGACTGTAAAATTGCCGACTACAGCAGTCTGTAATTAGGTCACCTTGTCTAAAATCTACTTGATTTAGAATAGGGCATGTACTACTTGTGATAAACCACAGTATATAGTCCCAACTTGATCCTAAATTGTTTGATTTCAGCGTGATCTCGAATATAGAAAACAATGGGATACTCATGTGGTCAAGCTAGAAGTACACGATCGTGATCCTGAAGGAACTAGTGAATTAGTTTATTGGGAATCGCATTACCCTGTGAGTACAGTAAAAGAAATAAATTATTTACAATCATTTCCAATTAAACTTTCTCAATGATTCTATTTGCACATATTTAGTTTCCGCTAAGCAATAGAGACTACGTCTATGTTCGCCGAGGAATGGTAAGTAAACTTCGAGATCAATTGGATAGTTGCAATAGACAGTGCTAGGTGGACATAAATTAGAACTATAGAATTATAAATGAGAAATTTGCAATTGGCCACCATTCACGTCATTATTATTATTTAAAGGATGATTTTACGCTCTATTTTCACCTAGGTTGATGAATCAACCAATACTATGACTATACTATCCAAGTAAGTATGACAAAAATCGAGTACGTTATCAAGGCTACGTCAATGATATTTATGATCGATACTAGTTTTTCATGGAAATTTTCACTAAGCACAATTATTCCACTTGTAGGTCTGTTTCCCATCCTGATTTTGAAGAAACTGCGACGATTGTACGTGGGTCATCATATAATTCCATGATGATTATTAAACCTCATACCAAATTTAATAAGGTAATGAATGATTCTTCATTTCTTATCGTATAACTGCCAGTTTCGTTTACTAACTATAATCCCTTGCAATATGATTATCATTTCTTCTTAGCCTGGCCTAGATTATCTTCTTATTTATTTTGATGATCCCAAAGGTTATATACCATCATACTGTCTAAATTGGGCCGCAAGTTCAGGTATACAATCACTGTTCATAATTAACCTCTTCAATTTCATTGATAATAAGATGCATTAGCAATAACTCACTGGTTATTAATGACATTGTATTTTCTTCCAGCTGTGCCTAGTTTTATGAAATTATTACACACTGCAGCGCTAGAACAGTGTGTTCGTTATCATCCTGTCGTCAATACACAACAACAAAGTTAGGAAGTACTGGCAATAATGAATATTTTCAAAAATTTTATTTTAAGAAATAGCCGCAATCATAGCGACAAAAGTACTAGTACGACATAGTACACATTTTAGTATTAAGATGGAATGAAACTTAAAATTATTGGACAAAAGGTACTACTAATAATGGTACTATAGAATATATTTTAAAAATATTTTGATCTGTATTTGCTTTTACAGTGTGTAATCAATCTATCGATTATGACTGAACTGGAAAACATTCATTTTTGAATGATGATCCTTCATATACAGACGTCCAAATAAAAACATGATCTATTATATTGTCTGTTGTGTACTGCTGGCACAGAGATAAGATTCGTAGATAGCGTTAATCAGTCAGCTTTATTACTTGGGTGCATTCCTTAAATACATTCTGTAATTACCCAGATAGCAATTGCTGGTGACAACCCTTACACACGTAGTTATCTTAAACAGACACTAGGCAGACCAAATTAATATAACACTTAATATGATGTACAGTACATATCAGGTTCGACAGTATGTGTATATATAAATAATATATATATATATATATGAACGTAACCGTTAATAGAAATTGCACGGTATTGGTCGTATTGATTGCTTCACACACAAAATTGCACAAACCCGACTTATTATCCAGGATTAAATCATATTTATTTAAATTAAATGGATAAAAGACTGCTTATTAATAAGTTTAATCTAGTAGAAACTGCCACCAAGGTGACTATTAAGCTGCATCTTAATTATAATCTACAAAGTATTATGACAAGAACGATAATCTTAATATCAGGTTCTAAGAATAAAATAGATAGTAATGATATACTTATGTACTATTTTATACTGCGTAGTGGCATGAAGATGACTTAGTAAACGCTGGGTAGTACACACGAGTATTGCAGGCTAGTACAGTGGTTAGGGACATCAGCATAAAAGATAATATCCTGAAATAATAACATTTCATCAAATAGTATGACAAATATTCCACAGATGGTACATCACCTTTATAATTTTATAACAAGCATAGAAGAAAAATATCAATAAATAACCACAACGGATGGTATAACTAACGAAATAAAGGCATTATGAAAATAGATTTCTCATATTGATGATTTTGTGTAGAGCTAATGACATTGCTATCATCTTAACTACCCATTATTAGGGAAGATAAGTTGCGACTTAAACGTTAGTCGTCTTACTCAAACTACGGCTTCTGTTACGGAATGCATAACTTTCTTGGCATGGGAACAAACTTTTCACCGCTGATTTTATATCCGAAGTTAACATTGTATAGATTATTGGATTAATAGCAAAGTTAACATAAGCCAATATAATGCTAATAAATAGAAATTGTCCAGGATTGTAACGAATATCATATGCCACCGTTAGAGTAATAATAAAAAATGGCATCCAACACACGCAAAATATACCTAATATGATAACAGACACAAAAGTAGCCCGCAAATCAGTTGTCTTAATTGTAATGTTCATTTTCTTATTGAGACTATGATTAAGTTGTTTATGTTGAGATCGAATGTGTTGATTTTGCCTCCATGCAATACGTATAATGCAAACATACATAACAGCAATAAGCAGCACCGGTATAAAGAAATTAGTAGTAATTAAAAAAGTAAAATAAGGTTTCTCATAAGTCTGATACTTTTGAGGTGATTCTGGCATACATTGCTTAGGCCGATATTGATAGCTAATATCACGCCATATAAATATAATCAAAGATAAAACTAGAGGTTGGATCCAAACGTAAAGCAACATAACCACAACATGGCTTGACTTTAATATAAAATGACGCTTAAAAGGATGACAAATGGAAATGTAACGTTCAATAGTTAAAGCTAGAATATTTAGAATAGAGGTAAAAACTAAAGCAATCGATACAGAAAAGTTAATGTTGCAATAAATGTGGCCAAAAGGCCACCAGCCTAACAAGCCTTGAATAGGAGATAGCGGCATGATCAATAGTGCAAATAAGAAATTGGCACAGCATTCGCTCAATAGAAATTTATGTTTTGAACGCAATTTCTTGCTTAGTAAAATTGCTGTTATAACAATTCCGTTAGCAATGACTGCTACAGCCATGATTAAAATAATAGTGACTAACTTAAATTTTTCACCCAAATTTAAAGATGAATCTTGCTCTTGTGGAATATTTGCATTCTCTGCCAGCTTATTTATGCCAGTTGGTGTTAATGTCCTATTTAGGATAGCGGTAATATTGGTACAAGCCATCTTATTATTCTGCTTTCAAAAAATTTATTGTTTTCTATAAATTTTCTTATTTGAATCTAGTAGTAATGGAATCAGAAGTTTCAAATATAATTTCAATTTTTCTTCCTAATGGGCCTTGTCTTTATTAATCTTTAGATTTCCACGCCCGGAGAATCAAAATAGGAAACCAACGATTCTTCTTGATATTTTTAGCCTTTTTTTAATCCAAATCCTGTAATTAAGTCGTTACTAAACCAAATCTTGGTTGAGTAACCATGCGATCGAATGAAAAAGTAAAAATACTTGGTTTTAATTTTTTCCTGCTAGTTCAGATTACAAAAATCCAAGATTATTGTAATATTTTCTTTTAGCCTTTATTGGACCAGTCCTAGTTAACGATTTCACGATCGATTTCTTTAGTAGTATAAATACAAGCACGCATTCGATAGCAAGTAATGACAACTATTGCTAATAGTTAATAAAATATTTCAGCATTGATTGTACAATAACTTTAAGAATACGAGAAATTCCAATAAAACAATGTATTGTTTAGCGTATCAACTAGTAAAAGATATTAATCGAAAAATATCCACTTCCGCATTATATTGAGCTTATACTTTTGAGCTCAAATTCTTCTCCTAAGTTGTGATATCGAAAGAAACATAGAGGCTAGCTGGTGAATATTGTAAATACGTATTATGATTGCACAAATTAGATCTTCTATTTAATACAGTAGTGAATCATTCCAAAGATAGTTTATAACTTTGTTTATGCAAACTACTGCGTATAATTGTAGATAAGTAGATATTTGGAGAATAAAACAGATCGATAACCTAATAGGCAAGATAGAGATGAGAAATTAAGACTAACAGTGATATTTAGAAGCGGATATTATATAAATAAGAAAAGTTCGAGCAATGTCAAGGAACTATATGTAAATTGATGAATTATACATAATGTGTACAAAATATGAAAGGAAAGAAAACACTTCGGTCAGGAAGGTTATTTGGCAAGTTAATAATGATCAAATTGCTATGAGAATAGAAATTACCAGAGAACATAGACACTAAATATTCAAGCGTTATAGCTTTGATGAGTGTTAAGAGGGTTGATTCTTAGCAGAATAGCCAATGGAAGAAACAGTAGAAAATGATACTCCTGAATAATCAATTAATCATTCAAGTACTTTGGCTTTCAAATACGGAGAATTATAATTTTACTTGGCGGTGCTTAACTAAAATTGGATAGCGCAAAGGAACGAAATCCAGATATTACCGCTATACAGAGAACAAGGAAACATAAATTGCCTAATTTTTAATGAGTAAAGTCTCGCTGATTATGCTCCTTCTGTAATTCGTCCAGTAGATGTTAGCCGTCCTTGAAGGATATACCAATGTTCTAGACGAAAACTTAATGACAAAACTAGGCTTTATAAACCTGCCAAATCGGTTGATGATTTCATTAGACCTCAATAAATTCAATTACTTGAGTAGAATTGTGCTGTTGATTTCCTAATTAAAAAATTAATTTAATAAGGCGAATAATGAGGGATACTAATTTCAGGTAATCTCCTTTGGCCGTCATTTAGGTTAGGAGAATGAGCTCTAGAGTAAAAAATGATGAATATATAAGATAATTTAAGCCTTCTTCATGACGTGAATATCATTTATAGTAATGGCAATAGAATTTTTACATAGATAATCATACAATAAGAATCAATCAATCTTGCGCATAATACCTTATGAATAAAATAAAATATACAACTATTGAAATATGATCAATTTCTGATCAAAGTGATAAATAAGAAATAACAAGGGTGCATTCGATTCGACAATATTGTGTATAGTATCCGGCTATAAATGGTACTACAACAAGCTATGGTATGATGGAATGACGAAAACGTAGTTGTTCAAACTATAACAGCAATAGTAATAATTAATTCGATTGAATGAATATTGTGATAAAATAGAAAGTCAAAACAACTCAAGATTGAAAAATATTAAATCTAATCAAATTCATAAAGTATTCATAGCGATACAAGTTTAAAAGGTTTGATAAATTAAATATTATCAATTTATTCAATACAATCAATCGACCAACACTAACCATTGGAGAAATTACTCTTAAGAATTTACACTATGATATTGAAAGCAATTGCTATTGATCGTCATCTTAATTCTTCCTAACTGAATGAATAATAATGTAGAGATACGTATAAACACTTGCTTCCTATATGAAGGGAATAGATTAGAAATATTACACCAAAGAGGATATATTTACCATGTAAACTGTCACTCGAATCAATTCTGTATATTTATTTGAAAGTAAAGAGAAAAATTTTTATCCTCAGAACAAGTTCAAATGCCCGCTAAAGCGCTGAAGATAGATCAGTTCACATGAGGATATTATTTAATTTTACATATAGCACCAAATTGCATCAATATCACTCCGGCAATTGATCCATTACAGTAAGGTATATCATCGCGATCTTGACATCCGTCATGATAAAAAGGCGAAAAATTCAATCTTACTTATTTTAAGTTTTTCCGAGAGAATCAGTACAAGACGTAAAATTTTCCCCCAAAATCAACATATTTACATAATAGATACTAATTCAGTAGTTAGAATACAATACCTGCCTAAAGAAATTCATTCCTAGCGTTATCTTATTTTTGGATGGCTACGTATTTCTTTTTCTTATTTGAAATAGTTCGATGGACGTTATTGTTGACGAATAACTAAACTACAACGACTGACAAGTTTAATTTATTATTATAAGATATTTAACTAATTGCTAGCCTTGATAAAAAACCTCGACGTAAATTAGATCTTCATAAATTCAATAAGTATAAAGAAAACTAATGGAAACGCCTTTTTATACCATATCTACGCGTGTAATAAAAAAAAAGCAGCCATAATTTCTATAGATAGAAATTGTTAAATTTTTATAAGTTAGATTAATGAAATTGTTACAATTGCTTTTTTTCTTATACTTTAAAATAAT